ACTTCTTTTAAAAACATTATTTTGTTTCAGATGAAGCTGGGTCAAGTGCTTTTTGTCCTGTTTCTCTTGACGCAGGGCACTGCGACATTCAGAAGCGATGCAATAGCTCCAAGCAGAAATTATACTTTATTATCTAGTGAGTAGGCAATACCTATCCGTTAGTAATGCGAGAGAGAAAAAGGGAAGCTTTTGACATGTTGCTCCATTTATCATTAATTACAGATGTTCTTGCTGGTGACCTAGTGGGCAACATCACTCTGAAGCCTTCTCAAGGACCATTTGTGATAGATAAAGACTTATTAGTCCCTGAAGGCTCTCAATTGACTTTAAAACCGGGAGCGCAGTTGCTCTTTCGTCCTGAGACCGGAATACAGATCAATGGCTCCTTGATTGCAGAAGGGAGCCCGGAAAACAAGGTTTCGTTTTCATCATTTCCTTACCCTAATGCAAGCTCATACGCTAGCCACTACTATGGCAATGGAATACGCCTTGTTGATGGAAATAATTACACTGAAGGACGGCTGGAAATATTGATGAACAATAGATGGGGGGTTATCTGTGCAGATCGCTGGACTAAAGAGAACACTGATGTTGCATGCAGACATTTGGGCTTCTTAGCAGGGAAGAGACATTTCAAACAACCTTTTGATCGAACAAAGCTCTATCTCATTGATTATTTCGCATGCAAAGGTTATGAAAACAACCTATGGAACTGCGACTATAGAAGAAAATTCATGGGCTGCCGTAAGTGTTTTTAACATTCATTGTTTTAATAGTTGAAGCTTTCACGTGAACTTAAATTACATTTTAAATATCAGTTAGACGACATAAAAGCACGCGCCCATGGCGATATAGACGCACGAAAGAAAATATAAAGAACGATTAACAAGCGAAAGATCTAGGGTGGCACGAGGCGAAGCCGAGTAACACTCTAGCTTGTTAAGAGTGGTATTATCGTTTCAAAATCGTAATTAGTTTTGTATAGCAATTCTAAAGAAGTTAACAAAAGAGGGAAAAAACTGCCGGGATTTCTTTAATTAAGAGCGAATTTCTCCTTACCTACGCGCGCTACGGCGCAAACAACAAGCGTAAACGTTTGACGCGCGCGCTCAAGCTTTCCTATTCATCGCGCGTTAGCCAGTGGGAAACCTTAAATTTGAAACAACAATACCACAAAATATTTTCGTCCCAAAAATATAACAAATTATTTAGTAAATCGCGTTTGTCCTTATTTATCACCACAAAAAAAAAAAAAAACGAGAAAACCCAATCTGGAGAGAAATTAAATTGCTCTTAGAAGGTGTCACGTTGTAAATAGCTCAAGTAGAGTAACGAATGTAGATTTTTCTAAAATGTCACCGCGAACCAAAGGGAACCACAAGTCAAAAAATCCTCTGGCTCTTTTTTTTTTCGCTAAGCAGAAATGTTAAAACGACATAACAATCGCTTAATTTCCCTGAACTGAACTGATTGTCGGTTGAATTTGTAGTTACCGTGACCGACTAATTGCAGATCACTGGCCGGTTTCTTAACTCATTGAGAAAATCACCACCCACTTGACTTGCTGCTTGCCTAATTCCATTTTGTACCTTTTTAAATTTTTGTTCAGCCCAATATCCCATTGGTATTGAATGCGTGGGCTTGATGAGATTTCTCAAGGAAAAAGTAAAATGGCGAGGGATGTCCTTCATGATGCAGAATCATAGACCACTATCAATACTGAAGCATGTTACCATTAAAGACGCAGTTTTTGCTTTGAATGTCACACACCAAGCCCCGGAAATAAGCAGCGTCACTATCAGGAACTCCATCCACGGTATCCAAGTAAGCCACTTGATCGAGCAAAGCAACATTGAACTCACTGATATTTTGGTTCATGATAATTACCTTACTGGCATGAAGATTATGAGCTTAAAGTCAGAAGTGAGAATTCGTAATTCGTCCTTCACAACGACATCTTTAGGAGATGGGTTTTCCTTTGAAGATGAGACAGTGCCTATTGATTTCTGTACTTGGGGCCAAAACTCGACACTGGTGTACCCCTTAATGTTTAGTGCGTCGTCTGATGGCAACGATGGCTATTGCTCTAAGGTTTGTTCTAAAATATTATTTGACTTTTGTGATTTCTTATATAATCTT